CTGTATATTTTACAAATGTAGCTCGCCAAGTGGCTTGTAATTGTGGTCTAAACACACTGCAAATATAAGAAATAAAGCAATTGTGAGATATAAAGTTAGTTACAGAACAGACCATGTGTTTAAAACTTCGCAAGGGTGAGAACAACTGTAGTTGGTTTCAACCTCAAACTACAGTGTTCAACCAGAAGAACTTGCGAGGTCTTGTTCAGCTGTTAGCGGACACTTCTGAGCGTTTCCATGTTTTTGCCTTGCCTTGCCTGTTTTTGGACCTTGGACTGTTTCCTTGTTTTTATGATTGTTTGCTGCCTGCTCTGACCTTTGCCTCTTTTGGATTACTCTTTTGCTTTGCCCTGGATATAATTGTTTGCTGGTGTTTGAACTTGACTGTATCGACCTAGGTGAAGTGGTGACAGAGGCGACAGGGTTAATGACTGTTTGCAGATCAGATGTACACGAGTCTATGTGACCCCTGGGGTTTAGGGTAGAATAGCAGCAATACGTGATAGCCGAAGGGAATCACACTGCTAAAAATGGGCAAAGTGTTGCCTCGGTATCGTTTCACCAGTATTAAAGACACTTAACATGCAGGGGAAAAGGATTGAATTGACACCAGCCCTCCCCCTTTCCTTTCAGTAGGTACGCTACGATCCCTCTCTTTTTACCTTTCTTACTTCATCATCATGATAGCTGAGTCCGATAAGCGGTCTCTTGTGACGCCTGCTGTGATCCAATTTAAGACCAGAGCCATCCTCCACGAGCATATTGTATGAGACAGACAGACAAACCAGCAGTTAAAGATACACCAAACATGTTCTTATGAGGCCTCAAGAAAACAGCCTCTTTGGTTTTACAGTAGATTGCCATGGAGCTACAATAGGAAATAAAATGACATGGTAAAAATATGGTAATCAGTCATTTTGATATTACAAAACTTTAGTTTAAAATTCAAAACTTTATCGGCCTGAGAAAGTATTACAGTATGAGCTTTATCTTGTAGCAATTAGCTTGTTAGTCAAACTGTATATTTTACAAATGTAGCTCGCCAAGTGGCTTGTAATTGTGGTCTAAACACACTGCAAATATAAGAAATAAAGCAATTGTGAGATATAAAGTTAGTTACAGAACAGACCATGTGTTTAAAACTTCGCAAGGGTGAGAACAACTATAGTTGGTTTCAACCTCAAACTACAGTGTTCAACCAGAAGAACCACCAGACAACAAATTTATGTTGAAACTTTTTCCAAATTACATTTTGGTTGTGGGGACATTATAATGTTCAGTTTTCAAACATCACCATTCAAAGGTTTTGGGCTGGAAAGATGTTTTAATGTTTTTGAAAAAAGTCTCTTATGCTCACCAAGACTGCATTTACTTGATAAAACATACAGTAAAAACTGTAATTTTGTGGAAATATTATTACAATTTAAAATACCTTTGATGCAAACTTGAATTGTCAGCATCATTATTCCAGTCTTCAGTGTCTCATGATCCTTCAGAAATCATTCTAATATGCTGATTTAGTGCTCAAGAAACATTATTATTGTCCATGTTAAAAACAGTTGTGCTGCTTTATATTTTTGTGGAAACCATTATACATTTTATTCAGGATTCTTAATAGAAAGTGAAAAAGAATGACATTTATTTGAAATATGTTTTTGTGACATTGTAAATGTATTTTTTGTCATTTTTTATCAGTGTAATGCATCCTTGATTAATAAAAGTAGCCTATTAATTTCTGTAATTATATATATATATATGGTGCTCATTAGTGCTCATTATTATTGTCCATGTTAAAAACAGTTGTGCTGCTTTATATTTTTGTGGAAACCATTATACATTTTATTCAGGATTCTTAATAGAAAGTGAAAAAGAATGACATTTATTTGAAATATGTTTTTGTGACATTGTAAATGTATTTTTTGTCATTTTTTATCAGTGTAATGCATCCTTGATTAATAAAAGTAGCCTATTAATTTCTGTAATTACGTTACAACTATCCATTATCAAAAAGTATGAGGAAATATTTGATACAGTATAAATAAATACTGATGTTTGTAATCTATTGCATTCTCTTCTGTGGCTCCCACACATGCTTACATTTGTCTGTGTAACATTTGCTCTAGAATGTCAAACATACTTTTCATAAAGGCCTTACAAATGCACGTTCATATACATGAGTGAATCATTGCATGTCAGCTCATGGTGTGAGCCTCCACTTTACTGTGCAGGAAGTACGTGTTTGTCTGCATGTATAAACACTGATATGGACACTGTTGTTGTTGTTATCGTGAGTACAGATCATCAGCAGCTGGACGTCTGTTGCGGGAGGGTCAGAAGCAGAGCTGGAGACTGCTGTGGAGATGTTCAGCACGTGAGGTAAGCTGAAGTGTCTGTCAGGGCTGGTCCAGACAGCCTGGCCAGATAACGGTGACATGCAGCACTACAGTTACCAGCCGGACCCGGTCAGTTGACACCACCGCATCAAAGCTGCCACAACAGCCTCAGCCCTGGCCAAAAGACTGACACTGTCCTGAACACTGTCTGTGGTCTGGAGGAAGACGAAATATTTGTAGACGAAATGTTCATACATGCTTTCATATTAGGTTTAATTATTTGTGTGAAAGCATATCTTGTATCCTGCATGGATAATTAATAAGAAAAAACATATTTTTTCTATGCTTTTTCTATTAGCAGTGGTTTCTCAGTAGCGGAAGTCGCGTAGTTGAGTAAACTTCTATAGCAGTGAATGGGAGACTTCCACAAATATTTTGTTACATCCCCATTCGTTCAAATAGCAAAAGAAAAACTCCACGTTTTCACGGCTTTCAAAAATGGCAGTCTAATAACGGCAGTCGGAAAAGAGAATAATGTCAAATTTACCATCACTCTCATAGATGCTGTATTAGAAACATCCTTGCATTAGCGTTAACTAGTATTTTAAGGCAATATAATACAAAGCACAGTGTTATAAATGTACATACATTTAAAAAACATGAAAATATAAAAAACTTTGTAGGATTTACGATGCTGATGACCGTTGAAACATGTCATCACAGTCTTGTGAAAAGGGCCCATTCTTCACATTATTGTGTCCTCATGATAAATTGCTTGTATTCCTCATTTTTAAGTTGCTTTGTATAAAAGTGTCTGATAAATTAAAATAAATAAAAACAGGACTTCATTGATAATAAAATATCAAAATTTGATAATTTTCAATACAAAAAAGGGGGAAAAGTCAAGATAAACTGTAAAAATAAATAAATACATTTCAATTAAAAAAGTCAATTTATTAAAATGTTGGACACTTTATTAAAGAAATTAATATAGTTATTCAGCAAGAACACGTCAAACTGATCATAAGTAACAGTAAAGATATTTTTAATGTTACAAAAGATTTGTGTTTTTAAAATATACACTGTTTTTTATACTTGCTATTCATCAAAGAATGATGAAAAATGTATCAAGGTTTCCTTGACAATATTATTTTATAATATTATTATACTATATATTAAATATAAACAGCGCAACTGTTTTCAACATTGATAATAATAAGAAATCATTTTTGAGCACCATATCAGCATATTAGAATGATTTCTGCAGGATCAAAATAAATTACATTTTAAAATATATTAAAATAGAAACCAGTTACTTTAAATCATAATGTTTCACAATATTGCTGTTTTTATTGTGGTTTTGGCCAAATAAATGCAGCTTTGGTCAACATAAGAGCCCTTTGAAAAGTACTGTGTATAAAAAAAAACATTTTTAATGAATGCAAAATTTAAGTTAGTAATTAAGTAAAGTACACTGCAACAGTGGTGAAAAGAAAAATGTTAAACATTTCTACATACATTATTAAATCCTTGCCATTGCATGTGCAGGTATGTGTCATTTATATCTCAGTGAATGACGTGAGGTTATATAGTGTAAACTTTGTTCATCATCATGATCAAAGCACTGTACAGCTCTGATCCAATGAAGATTTGTTTCCCTAGAGCAAAATGAATACACAACATGCGATCAGTTGCTACGTAACATGAACCAGCAAATGCTTATATCACTGAAATGAAAGATACCATTCATAATTGATTCAACATGACTGTCTGGACTGAAGTAATTGGCTCTGGGCTGAACACAAATGTGCTTCTGGAAATATGAATGCAGGATCACTACAGACATTTTAAAGCTCTTTCTGTTTTGTTCTAACACAACTGTTTGTGGCTGCTTATTGTTTCTCCTTTACAGGCCAAGTTAAACATGGCTAGCAGTAGATCAAGTCAAACAGGTTGAGCCGGAAATTAGCAACATGTCCAGGATGTGCTCGAGCAAGCACCTTTGTAGTATTTACACACCAACATCTAGTGGGAATCCTCACTGTTGTGGATTTATGGTAACTCTCACACACTTCAGTCAGCCGTTAAACAAAGTTTTGTCTACTGCACTGCTGCTGACTTCAACAATTCCGCTCAAAAAAAGACCCAAAGACTGAAAATTATGCAAAGACTTTTACATTTTACATTGTTTCTAGCATGATGAGATTGTGCTGTTTGATATAAACGTGTACGTTTGCTAGAATTTTTTTTTTTTAACAATAGACTATTCAAAGCAGTGTTCTTTTAATATCACTGATATACTATTATAGTTTTTATTAATATTTTGAATTAGATTCTATTCGTATATTTTCTCTTTTCATTTTAATTTTAGCTAAAGTTTTATGTGAATATGTTTTAATTTTTAGTTTTATTTATATTACTTCATCTTAAACTAAGGGGAAATGAGAAATGTTTGCTTGGTAACTAGCTGTGTAGTAAACTAAACCTTCTTATATTAATCAGAGAGATGACAGAAAACCATTTAAATATGATAAATGTTCAATATGTTAAAATTGCATTTAGAATCCCAGTACAAAAAAATATATCAGACAAATGTATGGAGGTCAGTTGCACATTTATTATAATTAAGAAGATACATACTGATTATTAAATAAAAATAGGCTAAAAAATAGATGTAAAGAAAGAGACAAACCAAGTCCACATCTTCAACACTGAATTATTATAGATTATGAACACTGTTCAGAATTTATGGTAACCATGAAATAGTGCTGTCAACAATAATGGGTATTTATAATTACATCATCATGAAAGATATAAATGTAAATACCTCAACATCTGTTTCAAGTCACAGTTCAGAATAATTAAAAATGAGCAGTCATAACTGGCCATAATTCACTATTTCCTGTCCCATTCCCCCTATACAGGCTTTGACATACACTTAGTAGCCACTGATTGCACTCAAAATACACTTTGCTGCTATATCTTCCTTCAAAAAACACTATATACAGCTGTATATAATGTCTGCGGTCATATGAAACAGAAGGCACCCTTCCTGAAAGACTTTTAAACAACTTATACTCAAGAACTTCTCATTAACTAGAAAAAAAATAGTTCAGCATTAGACAAACCAGCTCCTGGCACTGAACTGATGTGTGTTTCAGTCAAACCCCCAAGTCTTTGCCTTCAGGGTTTGTTAGTTTTGCTTTGAAAGTATATTAACAGCTTCGGTTGAATTATAAAAGCATAGAAATCTCCTCCAGGAACTAGGTTTGTCGGCCCTGATAAAAGAAATGGATGAAACACACTCTCTTGTTCTCAGCCATGCAACCTACTAATACTTCTCTCCATTTTCTCTCTCTGTTCTTGTAGCATTTGCTCATTACTCTTTCTTTTCCTCTGTTGTGGCTGCATTGCCCTTGCTCTCTGGCTTCTTGGGTGCCGGGCTGTCCAGGAAGAAATCGTTGCAGGCCACGGTCAGCGCCCCCATGAGGATGATGAACTCGGTGAAGTCCACCTCGCCGTCATTATTGCCATCCAGGTCGTTCATCACTCGTTCCACCGCGTCTTTATCTTGAGCATTCTGTATGAAGACAAAAATTAAAAGATGGAGAGTTAAAACTGTGTATCGGTATGTAATAAAATACACTTCAAAATAAAGGTTCTTTACTGGCATCTTCCATGAAGAACCTTAAAGATCCATGGAAGCTTTCTATTGCACAAAAGATTCTTCACAGTGGAAAAGGGTTCTTTATTGGTATCTATGGTTCCATGAAGAATCTTTAACATCCATGGAACCTTTCCATTCCACAAAAGGTTATTTAGAACATTTTTGAATGTTCTTCAAATTAAGAAAAAAAAAAGTTCTTTTAGGAACTGTTTACTGAAAGGTTCTTTGGGGAACCAAAAATGGTTCTTCTATGGGATTGCTGTGAAAAGTGTGCACTCTAAAAAATGCTGGGTTATTTCAACCCAACTTTGGGTCAAATATGGACTAACCCAGGGGTAGGCAAGTTCGGTCCTAGAGAGCCGCAGTCCTGCAGAGTTCAGCTCCAACCCTGAAAAAAAAAACTCACCTGCCTATAGCCTTAGTAATCCTGAAGACATTGATTAGCTTGTTCAGGTGTATTTGATTAGGGTTGGAGCTGAACTCTGCAGGACTGCGACTCTCTAGGACCGAACTTGCCTACCCCTGTACTAACCCAACTGTTCGGATAAATTTTTAACCCAAAAGTTGGGTTAGTCCATATTTGACCCAAAGTTGGGTTGAAACAACCCAGCATTTTTTAGAGTGTAAGGTTCATAGTGGAAAAAGATCAATTAAAATGTCCTTCACACTAAGAAAAAAAGGTTCTTCAATGGCATTGCTGTGAAAACCCTCTTTTGGAACCTTTATTTTTAAGAATGTGTAAAATCAATAGTGATAATGTCATTTGCATGAGGAATTCTGGGAATGTTAATAAAAGGGAATGTTTGTGGTCAAAAAGCCAGAGGCTGGATCCACATATATGATATTTGCATGAGACATAATTATCAAATGGGCATTTCTGTAACTTACAGAAGATGCAAATCTGAGCTTGCGATACAGGTTGTGTCATATTTGTTTTGGCTGAAATGTATGTACGGCAGATGGCAAGTATTTAAATATTTTTTTTGCAGAAGTTCTGAAGAATTTATGTGGAAAGATTTTATCAAAATGTGAGAGAGGATGTGAAAAAAAATCAAAAATATATTTTTAAGACGACTTTGTCTCATTATTAAATTTACATCATTGATTTTATCGATTGCATTGATTGATTTTATCATGTCACTTTTTCATTTATTTGCAATTTACTTTCTTGATGTATATTCCCCAATCTATTGGTGCTTATTAATCCAAATAAAACATGTTTGTCTTTGTCATTTTTGGCTGACATTACAAATCCTTATTTATTAATCCCACCCTTCCAAACTCATGGCTCCATTTCAGTTTGGAACACCCACTTTGCATTGTCCAGTCAATTCCCGTTGGATAAAATCAAGCCCCGCCCTCTTTTTATTTAATATCTTCTTTGTGAAACCACAATAGGTTGCAAAAAAATTGTAATTGTGCACATGCTTTCTTCTCACCCCAAGATAATTTCCCAGCTCCTCCATCAGAAGTTCCCTTAGTTCTCCTCGGCTGAGTGTGTATTTATCTCCTTCCTTCCCGGAATACTTATGAAAAGTCTTGATGAGCATCTGCATGGCGCTTTCCAAGTTGGAGCTTGGTTCTTTGGACATGCTGTAAGGTGGTGAAAAAGGTCAAAGGTTAGCTACAACGAGATGGCGCGCCCCTTGCTAGACCCTGCTGCATGTACGATCACATGACTAGCATGGGCGGAGCTTTGGCTCAGTTAATTCTGGCACAAACACATGTTTTAGACTATGGGTGAAAACAAAATGTGAAATGTTCTCTCAATCATTTGTTTGAGGTAATATCCTTACTGTTTGGGGGGTTATTATTTGATTTAGAGGAAAATTCTGATTAGGGGTTTGTCACTCAAAAAGCAACATTCTTACACATCACACTTTGAGCGAGGCATCTTGGATCTTCTCTCTCCAGGGTCAGCGAGCTACTGCGCAAGTAGAAACAGACACAGTCATTGATGAGGTACAACAGAAGACGAGAAAGACTGGAGCATGAACAGAAACTGCTGGAAAGCTGAACGATTTGCTTCAGGGTTTTTATAAGAGGATTAAAAGCAACTAAACACATTTAGTTCATTTTGATGTCAAAGATACACGGAGAGGTAATGTTAGACCTCTAAGTATTGTGGTGCAGCAGGTTTGGCACTTTATGAGTCATTCTCACTCAATGCATGATTATAAAAACTGTTAGCCGGCGCTACACAACTCTAGGTTTTCTTCGAACGCTCATTAGTTGTGTGTGAACGCTTCCCTGCTCACATCTAAATCATCTGTTGCTCATGTAACAGGGGCCGCATCTCTCAAATGGAAACCGCAAGTGAAATATAAAACTGTCAAAATGAAGATAAAGCTACGGGCAAGTTCCCAAGAGAACCTGCGTCCAAGTAATCCGAGGCTCTCGTGAAGACACACACACACACACACACACACAATACACACCTGAAATTATCCTAAAGCAAATCCATTAGTTAATTTTGAGGATAGAGGCCAAAGTTAAGTGGGGAAAAAAAGAGTCCTGTAGACTGTATAATTGTGAAAATTGTAAAATGAATAGAATAGAAAAACAGCTGGAGGATAAAACAACTAACTGATTGCTTGAATTACTCCTTCAATCAATTATAAAGTTAAAAGTAAAATTAATGTTTGCCCTTTTTCTTAAATTTCTGTACTATATATATTACATATAATTGAATAATTGAATTGCAACTTTGGACAGCGTTACTCTAATGAGGCCTCCATGCTCAGCTCTTTATTTGAAGTACTACACCATCTAATGTAACTAATTAGTTAACTTAAGAGAGTGCCTAATTAGGAAGCTCAAATGGTGACGGGGATTTGGAACAAAAAACGGTGAACTACAGCACTCAGGTACTAAAACTAAGAACTATTGTTCATGAAATGGACACTAACTACAAAGGTCAGAATGGTTTAATGTTCCGCAAAGCCATTAAAAACGTTAAAAAAGGACAAAGCGGCTATAAGGCAGCAGAAGATAGAAGAACAGCAATAAACTATTTAAATTGCAAGATAATTTGAAAAAGTAAGCTGAAAGGTGAAATGATGGCACATGTTTTTGTAGGACATAAGATACAGAAACACCTTCTCATTAGCAGTATCACAATGGTATAGAATAGACACTGTGATGCCATGGCAACCAAGATGAGAATGGAAATGTAACACCGAGTGACCCAGTGACACTAAGGAACTGACCGTTCTTTGACATGGAAAGGAGGAGAGATTCATTTATTTACATGAAAACAAAACCTTTCAAATATAAATCGAACTCATTCATTGATATATTACATACATTTCAAATCAAAAACAAAACCATTCTTTAGGACAGGCATGTTGTTCGGTGAATACATGGTAAAGTGGGACACTTCAGTGTTTGTATTATTGTGTATAGAGGAAATGATGGCACGTTTTTGTAGGACATAAGATACAGAAACACCTTCTCATTAGCAGTATCACAATGGTATAGAATAGACACTGTGATGCCATGGCAACCAAGATGAGAATGGAAATGTAACACCGAGTGACCCAGTGACACTAAGGAACTGACCGTTCTTTGACATGGAAAGGAGGAGAGATTCATTTATTTACATGAAAACACAACCAGACTGTATAATTGTGAAAATTGTAAAATGAATAGAATAGAAAAACAGCTGGAGGATAAAACAACTAACTGATTGCTTGAATTACTCCTTCAATCAATTATAAAGTTAAAAGTAAAATTAATGTTTGCCCTTTTTCTTAAATTTCTGTACTATATATATTACATATAATTGAATAATTGAATTGCAACTTTGGACAGCGTTACTCTAATGAGGCCTCCATGCTCAGCTCTTTATTTGAAGTACTACACCATCTAATGTAACTAATTAGTTAACTTAAGAGAGTGCCTAATTAGGAAGCTCAAATGGTGACGGGGATTTGGAACAAAAAACGGTGAACTACAGCACTCAGGTACTAAAACTAAGAACTATTGTTCATGAAATGGACACTAACTACAAAGGTCAGAATGGTTTAATGTTCCGCAAAGCCATTAAAAACGTTAAAAAAGGACAAAGCGGCTATAAGGCAGCAGAAGATAGAAGAACAGCAATAAACTATTTAAATTGCAAGATAATTTGAAAAAGTAAGCAGGTGAAATGATGGCACATATGTTTTTGTAGGACATAAGATACAGAAACACCTTCTCATTAGCAGTATCACAATGGTATAGAATGGACACTGTGATGCCATGGCAACCAAGATGAGAATGGAAATGTAACACCGAGTGACCCAGTGACACTAAGGAACTGACCGTTCTTTGACATGGAAAGGAGGAGAGATTCATTTATTTACATGAAAACAAAACCTTTCAAATATAAATCGAACTCATTCATTGATATATTACATACATTTCAAATCAAAAACAAAACCATTCTTTAGGACAGGCATGTTGTTCGGTGAATACATGGTAAAGTGGGACACTTCAGTGTTTGTATTATTGTGTATAGAGTAGTAGAGTAGTTCAGAGATGTTTATTCAAATGATTTTCTAAATCATTTGGATTATATTTTTATATGGATAGATTTTAAAATAAAAGTAAAAAAAAGAATACAAAATTTCACTTTACCTGTCCTGGTCCAAGACTAGTCCTACAACTTAAACAACATCTTCTTCAAGATTTCCCACTATATATATATATATATATATCACAATGGCAAAACGTGTCCCAATTTACCTGAATTCTCCCTATATGCATATTTAAAGGTTTAAAAATCTGTTTGAAACATATATTTGAAACATATGTTTCAATTTGAGTTATTTAACTTCGAAGACTAGACATTCATATAAGTTACAGGTTATATCTATATCCCATGAGAACTTCACACAAAAGTAATGGGAGCACTGACCTATGGACAGATATTTGAATAAGACTACCAGAAAAGTTATCAGTAGATTATCAAATCCAGAAGAGCATTCATTAGCTTTCTGCTTAGAGAGAAAGGAGTCCTTTCTCTCGTCTGAGTTGTCTGTCTTACCTGATTGCCTACGGAGTGCTTCCTTTGTCTGTAATGAAGTGCAGGAGATAGTGATAGACAGCCGAAGAGCTGAGGAACAGATGAGGAGAGAGAGAGAACCTCTGGGGTTTAAATATCACTCACTCGGCCCCCTCCTTTCTCAAGAACATCTCCTGCATCTTCAGTTTTGGCACCCCTCCCGTACTTTCCTCCTTTAGTTCACCTGCCAATATAAGGGCCATTTGACCCCGTCATGCCAGTTGACTCTACACAAGAAGACTCTACAGGCCAATGGAGTTTGCATTACAGTCCTTTATTGTTGAGTAGATGGAGATGGTCAATCGTACAGCATAGAAAATGAAGGCTGCGTATGTGGTCAGTTGGTTACATTGAGCTTTGTACACTTTATGAAACGCTCATGCATTTGTTTAAAAGACAGAACAGGTTTTATGTAACTATGAAGAGCTCTTATCAACTGTTATTTGGCTGACAAAACTGGATTAACATCAAGCTCGAAAGGCAACATGTTCAAGCTAGTGGCTTCTCTAATAGATTTCAATACTGTTTTTCATAATCTACATGCAACGTGGTCAAAACTTGAATGTTTAGCCAAACTGCATAAGGTGTGATGATGTTATAATGCTAATGTAGTGGGGCCTTGCAATCACCTACCAAGGTAGAGCCGCTAACTACTTCTATTTAACTGACAAACTTGAATAACATCAAACTTGAAAGTCAATGCTAACATGTTCATGCTAGTGGCTTTTCTAATATATATCGAAGCCATTTTCCAAACAAAATGTGGTTAAAGAATGTTAGCCAAACTTCATGATGTTTGATGATGCTATAATGCTAATGTAGTAGGGCCTAGTAACACCAGAAGGACACACAGAGTCGGACACACCAAAGTAAACAGAGGTTTTAGATTTAGCCAGGATATACATGACAGCATGAGCTAAACGAGAGCTCATTATCATGATCTAAATGAGCCCTTTTTAGGCAGTGTAGGATTTTACACTGATGTAGGCTATTCATATCTGTATAATGTATAATGTAGTATGTATAATGTACACTATAATGTATTATGTAAGCTGCTAGATAATGGCTAAAGTGAAAGTACCTGTGCATTTGTCTCTTCTTCTTGTTATGCATGCCATGGCTTTCATAAACATTTCATAACAAACCGGAACAAGTCGCATATTTACCCTAGCTGCTGTCAAAATTCATTGAATCATTGATAATTAGTAAAAAAAAAAAAAGAATTAAGAAACATTATGATAAGGCTCCTCAACAGACTTGTTACAGGGTTTTCTAGCACAAATCTCATGCAACAGTCAATACATGATGGAATATTAATGTTACTAATCAGATATTTCTAGCTAGTTTGAAGCAGAATGCATACAAATCTATCATCTCTCTCTCTCTCTGTGAAATCTGTCTGTCTATTTATGCACTAAACAAATGCTAACAAGCACTAGTTATAATTATATCACAAATATTAAATGTTTAAAAGCACAACATATAAGTGAAACCAGTCAGTCCTGCTGTGAATATGATCTTTAAGAGACTTTACGACATTATAAACTTTGCAAAGCTATTAAAACACTCTACTCACACTCTAAGAGACCTAGACTTTAGAGACCAAGACATTACAAAATACACCTAAATATATGCTGGCTAATATAGCTAAAATAAAGTTTGAGAGAATGAATGCTATGTGAATGTAAAGGTCTTTGGGCCCTAACTGCCTTAGTGAACCGATGACTTGGGGCTCCTGCGGGGCCATAAGGGTCCCCTGGTGTGGATTCCATCTTAAAGCCATTTAATTATTGAGCATCAGCTATCATAAGAACACTAAGCATCTGATATTCCAGCTCTTTAGACAAAGATGGACAGCATGTAAAAGTCTAAAAGAAAGACCAGCTAATAGAGGGTATCAGAGAGTTAGATCCAAATACACAAGCCGGAAAGCATGCCATAAAACTGCATTATTCAAAAGCAAATTTGTTTATTCTCATGCAAACAAGGCCCAGAAATGTGAACAACGAAGTAGGTGGATTGCATAGTGTTCCCATGTGCGCCACAAATGCAAATCCCACATTTAAATGGTGATGCATTATGTTAAATTCCTGCAGAATGGCATTTCGTCCAAAAATAAGCGAGGTGAAAAACATGCTTCTGCAACACTGGAAAATACATAGTACATTTATGACCAGCACCGTAGTCAAATAGTAACCCTGTCCTTAGAAGGTGCATGGCACAAACAAAAGGTAAACATAATGGACACTTAAAAAGGATATCTGTGTCTTTTTCAACATTTATGCAATAAAAACGGTGTCTTTTCTTCATTCACGGATGTTTTGTGGAGATATTGGTGAGGGGACACAGTGGTTGCAGCACCCTTACGACAAATCTGGCTCAAACAAAAGGACATAGTGATTAGTTATTGCACCTCTTTGGCCATTTGTCACATTTGCGGCTATTGCCAATTTCTATGATACGCTATTAGTACAAAATGAATCACAGGCATGGATTGATGTGCATACAAACAGAAATTAGTATTACAGTTTTTTTTTACAATCACTAGGACCCATTTCTCAATATTAGGTCACTTTTTTAAAACTCTTCACATAACTAAACAACAGCAGCCTCCTATTTTCCATTGCTCTGGCACAAAATGCATTTAATGACTAAACAGTTCTCAAATTATGTCAATTAATTTCTCACACAATCACCATCAAAATTCAATCTATCTACATGTCAATTGGCACATTAACATACTTTATTCAACACTTTTAAAACTGAGTTTAAAACTTAACAGCAATTTGCTACACTTCTACAGTAATACTATATTGAAATATATACCAAATCTAAACGACACTATCAAAACAATTACATGTAGCTGAACACCTACACAGGTGCAAGTCTTTCATTTCATTATCATCTACAAAACTTAGCATTTTGTGCTGTAATGTAAACATGGACCATGTAACATATACTGCAGTGAATTCTAAACAGTAGAGAGGTGTCATTCTTGTTTTGTAAAGAAATTTTACCAAAAATAAATGCTACATCTCTTGGTGTTTTTAGGTCATTGTTTTATGAGTGACAAAGGGTTTTTCCACTCTGTGCTTAACCTCGGGTTATCATTGTTTTAAACCTCGTTTTTAATCCTGGGCAATGGTACGCTTTACTCTTGTAATGTAGAAGGGGATTAACAGCATTTTTAACCCGGTATAGTCCACCGAAACGTCCACTGAGAAAATGTACTGGCTGCAATAATACGAGGGCGCCTAATGCCAGAGCTGTTATGTGAACAGGTGACACATTAAATGACACTGCAAATAAAAACGGTAACTATTTCAAGTGTGAAAAGCCCTAAAGGGTGTGTGTTGGGTAACAACCTTCACTAGTGTTATGATATTAAGTGTTTTTAATGCATTTTGGATGTGAAATTTACTGCTGTGCCAAGCTGAAAGTTGGTAAGGAGAACAGTGTGAAGAGTTTTGAAAAGTATTGAGAAATGTGTCCTAGCCACTGAAAACAACTGTAATAAGAGGGCTACGGCTCTTTGCAGTAATAAAATTTGTAGTATATTGGCCAGGTTTTTTATATATATATATATATATATATATATATATATATATTAGTGTTTTTAATGCATTTTGGATGTGAAATTTACTGCTGTGCCAAGCTGAAAGTTGGTAAGGAGAACAGTGTGAAGAGTTTTGAAAAGTATTGAGAAATGTGTCCTAGCATTGTAAAAAAAAAAAAAAAACTGTAATGAGAGGGTTACGGCTCTTTGCAGTAAAAAAAAAATTGTAGTGTATTGGCCAGGTTTCATATATATGTATTCAAATATCACAATAATGAAAATGACGAACAAAACAAACACAGAAGCATTTGAGATGTGACAATCTCGACTTCCTCGAGCTCCTACGATGCTTCCTCTGTTTTATTCTCCTCTTCAGCTTTCTTCTCTTCAACTTTCACCGCTTCCTGTTCCACATCTGTTTTTTTCTCTTCCTCTGGCTTCTGCTCTTCGGCCGCTGCCTCCTCGGCCACTGGCTCGTCTTCTTTCTCCACCTCCTTTGCCTCCTGTGGCTCTGCCTTCGGCGGCTCTGCCTGTGCATTGGCTGCCGCCCCCGC